AAAATCTACTGTCCATTTTAAATGGCATCAAAACTGGCAGCTGACTCATAGGAGTTGTTGCCTTAAATACAGATTTTTACCTTTTTTTTCTCTTCATATTTCTTGAATTTGCCTTTTTATCTCTAAAACTGTAATATTTAAAGAGAAAGTTACATTTGTAAATCTTATTAAAAAGTTATTGCTTTTCAATGATGATTTTGATCCAGTTTTTGCAAAAACTTGGAAACTTTAAATCTTGGGTAAACTCCTTATATTATACAGCCTGGTCTCGTGGTAGCGTGTTAACCTCAAGTGCAGAAGGTTGTTTATTTTGAACCCAACAGGGTAAAACCAAAGACTTTAAAGTTGGTATTTGCTGCTTCTCCCCTAAGCACGCAGTATTATTAAGGAGTAAGAGCAAATACTGGTTTGTTCAGAGTCAGAATTATGTGTCAAGGTAAGGTGACATGTCTCTCTGAGAACTAGTGTACATGTAAGAGATAAATTAGTCCTTGTAAAAATTGTCTGGTCAGACAAATATAACTAGTATAAAAAGTCCATGGATACAGAATTTACTAGTATATTTAGTCTGATGTCAGTAATTTATGTCCCCAGACTAATTTTCCTAGTCCAAGACATCACTATTCCTAGGTAAAAATGTCCAGTTTTTATACGGCCGCAAAAAATTTTTGCGGTCGTATATTGGTATGACATTGGCGTCTTCGTCCGAAGACACATTGGTTTTCGCACAATAACTTTAGTTTAAGTGAATGGATCTATATGAAATTTTACCATAAGGTTCAATACCACAAAAGGAAGGTTCGGAATGATTTTTGGGGTTATGGTACCAACAGTTAAGGAATGAGGGGCCAAAAATAAGCATTTTTGTAACTTCCAGACAATAACTTGTGTGTTAGTGTATGGATCTCTCTGACATTGTACCACAAGGTTCCATATCACAAAGGGAATGCTGGGATTGATTTTGGGGGTAATTGCCTCAAAATTTTAGGAATTAGGGGCCAAAAAAGGGGCAAAAAACAAGCATTTTTCTAGTTTCATGACAATTACTTGTGTGTAAGTGTATGGATCTTTCTGAAATTGTACTACAAGGTTCTATATCACAAAGGGAAAGCTGGAATTGAGTTTGGGGGTAATTTCCCAAAATGTTTAGGAATAAGGGGCCAAAAAGGGGCTAAAAATAAGCATTTTTCTAGTTTCCAGACAATAACTTGTGTTCAAGTATATGGATCTCTCTGAAATTGTACTGCAAGGTACCATACCACAAAGGGAAGGCTGGGATTGATTTTGGGGGTAATTGCCTCAAAATATTAGGAATTAGGGGCCAAAAAGGGGCAAAAACAAGCCTTTTTCTAGTTTCAGGACAATAACTTGTGTGTAAGTGTATGAATCTTTATGAAATTGTACTACAAGGTTCCATATCTCAAAGGGAAAGCTGGGTTTGAGTTTGGGGGTAATTGCCCTAAACGTGTAGGAATTTGGGGCCAAAAAGGGGCAAAAAAACAAGCATTTTTCTAGTTTCCAGACAATAACTTGTGTTCAAGTGTATGGATCTTTCTGAAATTGTACTGCAAGGTACCATACTACAAAGGGAAGGCTGGGATTGAGTTTGGGGGTGATGAATCATAAGGGGATTAAAAAAATGGGGGAGGATATTTTTTTCTTTAAAATTTTCCATTTTAAGTTGGTTATTTTTTATTTATGTATAAAAGGAAATAATAATGATATGATTTGATTTCATCAAAAATTGAAATATTTGGCTTCTTTGATATGCTGAATTTAACCGTGTATTTAGATTCTTAATTTTTGGTCCCGTTTTCAAATTGGTCTACATTAAGGTCCAAAGGGTTCAAAATTAAACTTAGTTTGATTTTAACAAAAATTGAATTCTTGGGGTTCTTTGATATGCTGAATCTAACCGTGTATGTATTTAGATTTTGGATATTGGACCATAATAGGTAAATTAAAAAATTTTAAGTTCTTAGACCACATTCATTCTGTGTCAGAAACCTATGCTGTGTCAAATATTTAATCGCAATCCAAATTCAGAGCTGTATCAAGCTTGAATGTTGTGTCCATACTTGCCCCAACTGTTCAGGGTTCTAACTCTGCGGTCGTATCAAGCTGCACCCAGCGGAGCATTTTATTCTAATACTGTATGCAGCATGTCAAGTATATTTGGTGTATGAAAATTTTTAAGGATGTACATGTTAGTCTGGCATGTTTTATTCGACCTTGACCTCATTTTTATGGTTCATTGCTCAATGTTATTTTTTTGTTTTTTGGTCAGTTTTTCTATTTTCTTATTTTCAAATTAGCAATAGGTCAACTATATTTGGTGTATGGAATGATAGTAAGGTGCATATCATGATATGTTTGACTGAGAAGTTTCGTCTTACCTTGACTTTATTTTCATAGTACATTGGACAATGTTTAGTTTTTGTGGTTTGGTCTATTTTTCGGATACTGTAAGCAATAAGGCCCCTATATTTGGTGAATGGAATGATTGTAAGATGCACATGTCTGTCTGGCATGTTTTATATGACCTTGACCTCATTTTCATGGTTCATTGGTCAATGAAAAGTTTGCATTGTTTTGTCAGTTTATCATATGCTTTAAGCAACAGGTAAATTATATTTGGCGGATGTAACTATTGTAAGGTGTGCATGTCTGTCTGGCAGATTTATATAACCATGACCGTATTTTATGGTTCTTTGGTCAATGCTAAGTTTTCTTGGTTTTTTCTTTTTATCAGATATTATAAGCATATGTCTACTTGTAAGTGTATGGAATGACTGTAAGGTGTCATATAAGAATAAGAAGTTGTCTGTCTGCCAAGGTTAATATTACTGTGACCTCATTTTCATAGAATATTGATAATATTAAACAAAAAAAATGATGAGCATGACAAGATATACAAATGATCCAAAATTGTCAGTTGCATACTAATTATGTAATAGTAGCTATTGTCATTAAATGATAATGTTTACCCTTTTATGTGTAGGGCAAGAACATTAAAGATAAAAGGAAACTATAAACAAAAGAGATTATCAACAAAAATAGATTTCAGACGTCAACAAAGCCTAAATGGTAAGTCCACTTCTATAAAAGTTATTGCCCTTGAATAATGATTATTATGAAAATAAGATGTGGTATGGTAAATGAGAAAACTATCCACCAGAGTTCAATTAAGTGGATGAAAGCAATGCAATTACTTATTAGAGGCCAATGATGACCTGTAAATAATGAGAAAACCCATAACCTATACATGATATAGTCATCTATAAAAGACACCACAAACAAAATTTGGAACAAAACATCAATTCAAACTTCAAATATACCAGACTAATTCATAAAAATGAACAAGTTATGAAAAAACAAATATGACGGACGTGAACCAACATCAACCACTGAACTATGTACAGGCTCCTGATTTCAGACAGGCAAAATATGGCAGGGTTGATATGAAAATAAGAAGCGGTATGATTGCCATTGAGACTTTTCTCCAATAAGGATCAAATGACATGAAATTTAACAAAATTAGTTCACTGTACAGCCTTCGACAATGAGCAAACCCTATACTGCATAGTAATCTATAAAAGGCCATGAAATTCAAAAAAACAAATGTAAAACAATTCAAAAAGGGCATGGCGTCATTTAAAAAGGGCATAATGTCTATCCATACTAAACATGCTTGGGGGATACACCACAAAGGCGAAAGCTAAGTGCCTGATTTTTGCACAAAACAATAAACAAAAAACAAATATGATATATAGCAACAATTGACAACCACTGAATAATAGACCCCTGACTTGGGACAGACACTTACAAAATGTGGCATGGTTTAACATGTTTGCTGGCACCAAATCCCCCTCTAATTAAGGACAGTGGTGTAAGTGTCAGTTCAATATAAAAACTATAAAATCAGTTGAAAAGGGCTTTTTTTCTGCTCTTGGGTCAGGTTATTTTTATACATTCCCGTTTTCATTCTCAATTTTATTAACTCATTAGAATGCAACAAAGCAGAAAAACAGCTACCAAAAACACAGACCGGGTGTGGCTGGACATTTATTCTTTCCCTGTAACAAAAAAGACTCAACATACAGATCTATTAGTACTCACAGTTACTGACAGCTAATTAATAGCAAATATCAACTAATAAAATAAACATTTTGTGAGCACCCATCCCACCCCTAACCTAGGACAGTGGTTTTAATAACAGCACAACCTTTGAACAAACTGTAAACATTTGTTGCAATTGGCTTAACTCAAAAGACTGCAACAAGGCACAAAAACAACTAATATGAAAACCATAGACACAAAGCACTGAAATAAGAGTACTTACAATTTAAAATATTCAAATGAAAGTTTTATCAAAATGTACATAAACATGATAAAGTAGCCATTTTATTGCTGTATTTCTCTTCATTTATAATTTTTGAGTTTTGTGTATTTGTAGGTCAGACATCTTGGTTTTCATGATCATCATTCAACAGGTCAATACTGAACAGAAAACTTAAAGTTGATATTTTTCTATATAGTGTGACTTTTTTATTAATTTGAAATGGAATGTGTTTTTTTCCTACATAAGAAAGAGGAAATTTCAACATAATGACTATAAACAAAAAGGAGTCATATTATCATGATCATAGATGCACAAGAACTAAATCATGTAAATGCAACAACGTAATTATCAATTGAAAGAAGGGAGGAATGAAAAAATATATTAGTAATTTGTTGTCTAAATGAACTTGCTTTGTCCACTCATTTAAATCGCTCCATCCAATAAAGATGTACGGAGGAGGATTTTTGAAGAACAGATTGCAAAAATGTTTTGTCTAAGAATTGTAGGAATATTCTAGTGGATGAAATAATTTATTTACTTGACTCTTATGTAGTGGACTGAATAATTGTACATAGCAAGCTGAAACAAGAAAACTAAAACTTAACAGGAAAAGTGTTTATTTTATAAATTTGCAAATATAAACGTAATATTATGAACACCACAAAGGTATAAGATTCAAATTGTTTGCATATTCATGTATTGCAATGGAACTATAACAAAGAAAACTTTACCTCATTAAAAGAGTAAACTATTAACTGTGCTTTGTCAATTTATTCAGTCAGAATATGAAATATTTTTTTCAGTTCTATTTTTCATAATAAAACAAACAAGACAAAGATTTCAAATCAATATTTTTTTCTTTTATTAAGACATGTCATCATTTTATTTCTGTTAAAGGATTTTATTTTTTAACTTTAAATATTATTATACTTTCCAAAATAATAATAATCTTTATTGTCATATAAACAAATTAAAAACATGTTTGTGACAAAATGAAAAAACCCAAAATACACTAATATTTATATTATAAACTTTTTACTACCAAACAGAATTCATTGTAACATACACATTACTGTATATTAATAATTTGAATTCCATAGGATTTTATTTTGTCCCATGGGATATTAAAAATCCCATGGGATAATTATAGTCCCATGGGACAACAAATATCCCATGGGACTACAATTATCCCATGGGACCCAAAAAAATCCTATGGGATTTAACCAAAATCCCATGGGATAATGGTCAATCCCATGGGATTTGCCGTATCCCATGGGATATTGAAAATCCCATGTTTTTCTAAATCAAATTACAAAATATATATAATAATAACAGCAGAAAAGCAATGAAATTATTGAATCCCATGTAATTCTGCACATTTTGGTTATATACACGACACTGTAGGTGTAAGGAGAGGCGGCGGCGGATTTGCAAATGAGTGTTTTGCAAATTAAAAGTGTCCAGTGTTTTAGGTACTCTTTGCACTAATCAATGCAAGCGTTAAAATCATTTTGTAGTTATATAAAGTTTATTTTGTCATACGCACAGCAAAAGACTAGACTTCCATGAATATTTCCAAACCACTTTTTAGAGGAATAAAACTAGTCCGTGGTACCTTAAAGCAACTACTGACCGTCCGTCAACACTTTCATAATATTATAAGTCAAGTTTGTCTTATCTGATATCAATATTTTTTATGAACATTATCTATATCTATACTTAAGAGAAAGATTCTTGTTAATTTTTTTATGAAAAAAGTGCTCAGCGAAGAAGCAGCTAAAAGCAATTTTACAGTCTTTGGTTTGACTAGGCTGGGGTTTGAACCCACGACCCCCCGCACTCTAATGATTGATTGGTTGATTTTTTTAACGTCCGGTGGCAAATATTTCATGCATGTTTAGTTCACCGTATGGCCTTTAACGATGAACTAAACCTATACAGTTTTGTCTGGTCACGCATTGATTCACGATGGCTGGTCTTTCACTATCAAAGTTGATGAAAAAATTAACAAAGTTCCTCCTTTAAAAAAAATAATCGAAACCTTTTTAAGAATAACAGCACTTTACTGTTACTGTATTATCTGACACACAACAGATATAGTTTCAAATATATATCATGATTTAATTGCATGTGACCATTACAGATCCAAAACGTGTTTTTTTTTTCTTTATTGATTTGCATAAGGTTATACATCGCCTTTTTTTTTTTTAAGTACTGCCTTTTCTATTTACATGAGTGCACAGTATTATTAAGGTAGTTAAATCATTATGACAGACATATTTCTTTTTCTGACTTTTCTGACTTTTCCGCCTTTTGATAATGCAACGGATATGTTTGCACTTTCTTTTTTTTTTTGCCATGACGTTGTCAGTTTATTTTCGACTTATGAGTTTGAATGTCCCTTTGGTATCTTTCGCCTCTCTATTTTCACATATTTGCTGTTGAATTGTATTTGATTGCACAATAAGAAAACTACATATTTCACGATTAGATCGCAATGCTTGACTATCGTTCTTTATTCTTTCACGATAATTTTGTTCTCGAAAATACCGAATGACAACCGTTAGCTCTGGATGATGATATGCTAATTGCTATTTTAATATTCAGATATTTATGATCATACTGGATAGAATTTTGTAATGCTTTGAATGCAATAAAACATACTTTTAACAATCAAAATTGTACATTCTTAATTATGACCACTAGTCAAATTAGTTTTATAGCATTCAAAACCCTTGTATCATTTTCTAAGTTTCTTGTTTGATCAGTATAGTACTGGAAAAATATCCCACAGAAAGAAACAGTTTACAAAACATATTTAATATACACTGAAAAATAAAAAATTCTGTTAGAAAAGTACTACATAATAGAAAAGTAACAAATTATGAAAAAAATTAGTGATATATCATTTTAAAATCATGATTAAACAAAATGCTCCGCTGGATGCAGCTGGATGCACTTGATACAACCGCAGAGGGCATACCCTGAACAGTTGGGGCAAGTATGGACACTACATTCAAGCTTTTCACAGCTCTGAATATGGATTGTAATTAAATATTTGACACAGCATAGGTTTCCGACACAGAATGAATGTGGTAAAAAAATGAAATAAACTGTTATTACAGAGATATGTCTCGCTTTTTTGTAATTTTGATAATGCAAATGTTGAAATTAAAATAGCAATACTTTAACATGTAAGTTATGCAAATATTCAAAGTCGATGAACCATGACTGAAGGTATATGGCTAAACAATCTCCATGGAATGAGATGTGCCAATGCTAATACAACTGCATACCAAATACCATTGACTTATTATAAGTCGTTCCCTTTAAACAAACCTAAACACAAACATTAACTTGTAAACTATGTAAAAGGTTCAAAGTCAATGAACCATGATCAGGGGTGGGGCTATATAATCTCCATGGAAACGATATTTGCAAATGCAAATATCATTGACTTAACATTAGCAGTTCATCTTAAACTGATCTAATCACAAACTAATACATGTAAACAAAGCAAAAGTTTCAAAGTCAACAGACTTCAAATGACTGAGGGGGCGGGGCCAAATATATTCCATGGAAATGAGATGTGCTAATGCTTATACAACTGAACACCAATTAACATTGGCCTACCACGAATGGTACCCCTTGAACTGACCTAATCACAAACTAATACATGTTAACTTAGCAAAATTTATAGACCATGACTAAGGAGACGGAGCCAAATAATCTCCATGGAAATGAGATATGAAAATGCTTATACAACTGCATACCAAATATCATTGACCTACCACTAGTGGTTCCCCATAAATTGACCTAATCACAAACTAATACATGTCAACTGTGAAAAGTTTCAAAGTCAATAGACCTTGACTGAGGGGGCGGAGCCAAATAATCTCCATGGTAATGAGATGTGCCAATGCTAATACAACTGCATACCGAATATCATTGACCTACCACTAGTGGTTCATCATGAACTAGACCTAATCACAAACTTATACATTGTTGACGCCGCCGCCGCCGCCGTCGCCGTCGCCGTCACCGCCGACGCCGGAAACAGCATACCTATGTCTCGCTTTTTGACTCCGTCAAGGCGAGACAAAAATGATCCATTATTTGATCAAAATCTTCAGAAATGTGTTTTCTTGATTTCTTGTCTTCCTGTACTTTAATTCGCCGACAGCTTTTCCGTATGCAGTGACGATTGAGCGTTAACTCAATCGGATTAAATGCTATATTCTGTCATATAATAGAGGTCGGTCAGTTTAAAACGTATCCGTCAAGGCGAGACAAAAAATGAAATTGAACTTTTACCTATTATGGTTCAATAGCCAAAATCTTAATACACCGTTAGATTCAGCATATCCAAGTACACCAAGAATTTAATTAATTTATTTATTAATGAACAATATAAGCTAAAAGTTTTTAAAGGGATTTGCTTCATAAAAATATATATATACATAGCATTCTGATGACTAATTTATGCAGAATAACAAACAAACCTACCACGAAGTTCTTCAAAAAATTTACAAAAAAATTAAAAAAATAAACTCTAAGATATCATTTATCATTGATACTATGTCTTCAAAAAAATCTATTAAACTTACCTTTTAAGGGGCATTAGCTACGATTTAGACAAATATTTTAAATGCATTTCTTTTTGTTTCAAATATTAATAAAAGCGGAATTGAGAAATAAATTTCGTTTTAAGCAGTCAGTTTGGCCCAAATTTGTCAAAATAAGATCAAAATCATCGCTGATGTATTATTGACTTGCAAGTCAATAATTTAACTTCATTGGATCCGTATGCATGTGACCTTTAATTTAACCCCTTAGCTGGAGATATTACGTATTAGGCATGTTCAGCTATTGAAAGGAAAATAATGTCAACATTGAAAGTGAAATAAGGGTGAGCCATTTTGTTGACTGATTCACTCCACAAAAAATCATTCTTATACAGGTAAATACGACGATTAACATATTTTAACCCATAATATGGAATCAAACAGACCTGGAAATTCCAATTGCACGTGCTCGCTATTTATTTATATTTATACTTATGTTTCTATCGAATTATATGACCGTTGTCAGTCTTCTGAGGTTATCTCGATCGTTAGTTAGATGGCGTCTAGACTAAAATACCCACGAAATACTGATACATATTCTCGAGTCCATGTATTGTTAATTGTTTTTTTTAAGCTTTGTTGTAATTTGGATATTCGTTTTAGTATGTTATAAATCAAATATGAGAATTTGAGTCAAATCGGTGAAAATGAGTTGGACAGATAATGCCCCTTTGATTATTTAATAAAATATCTAACAATGAACAGTAAATTTCAAGCTATATTTATACATAGTTTCTTCTCTAAAATTAAAATTTGATGCTGTAACTATGAATCTATTACAATTTCTATTAATTGTGCAATACAGCTCTGATTTTGAATCGTGATTAAATATTTGACATGGAGTAGGTTTCTGATACAGAATGAATGTGGTCTTAGAACTTGAAAATTGGAAATTGAACATTTACCTATTATGGTCCAAACCGTCCAATATCCAAAATCAAAATAAATGGTCAGATTCAGCATTTCAAAAAACCCCAAGAATTCAATTTCTGATGAAATCTAACAAAATTCAATGTTCGACCCTTTGGACCTTAATGTGGACCAATTTAAAACAGGGCTAAAATTCCAAAAACTAAATACACTGTTAGATTCGGCATATCAAAGAACCCCAATAATTCAACTTTTGAGAT